TTCACTTATTAAATATTTCAGCCAGTTTGCATTTTGTTCTGAATAAAACTGTTGTACTTTGTTTAGTTTAAAACAATTGAACTTGTTTAAATCTGTTCCACAAGATTGCACAGATTTCCCCCAAAGCCAGCACAGAAAATGCATGCATATATTAAAAGAATTATTATAATAATATAAACAAAACAATAAAATAAAAAATAAAATGAAATGAAGAGTTTTGAAACCTTGAGGGTAAACAGAGGACATTTCTTTAATAAATAATAACAACTTAATGTTATTCACAATGCTGAACGCATAACTGACTCTTCACGTATTAAAAATTCGGCCGATTTGCTTTTTCCTGCAAAAAAGACTGCGGTATTTTCAGGTTAGTTCAAAACATTTGAACTTGTTTAAATCATTCCACAAAATTCCACAGATTCCCCCCAAAACCAACACAGAAAATACATGCATAAATAAAAATAATTATATATAATTATTATAATTAATATAATGATATAAAATTAGTTAAAAAAAATAAATAAATAAAAAGAAGGGTTTCGAAACCTTGAGGGTCCACAAAATTAAGTGAGAACAAATATACAAATCCTAATAATCACTTCTCTTTTCTTTTTTTGTGGAACACTCATTAAAACACTTTTTATCTTTTCTATTCTGTCTTTTTTTTCTATGGGACAGCAGTTCCTGTTTTGGTCTTTTGTCCTGATGATTGACATGTAATGTGTAAACAAACACGCGTGTGTATGCGTGTGTACACACAGGTGTGTGCATGCATGAAATGTTTCTGAAACGCACAGAGGATCAGGAAGAGAGCTGATGTGCTCATGTGATCATTAGTGACTCAGGAGTCAGTCAGTATGCAGATAAAGATCAATAAACAACACTGACCAGACCTGAATCACACACATTTATTTAGTAAATATTGTGACATTTTATCACAATTTAAAATAACTGCTTTTTATTTGAATATATTTTAAAAGGTAAAAGCTGAATTTTCAGCATAATTACTCCAGTCTTCAGTGATGCATGATCCTTCAGAAATCATTCTAATATGCTGATTTGCTGCTAAAGAAACATTTCTTACTATTAGGCTATCAATGTTGAAAACAGTTGTGCTGCTTCATATTTTTGTGGAAACTGTTACATTTTTAAATAGAAAACTTTTAAATGTCTTTACTGTCATCCTCTGAATAAAAGTAGTAATTCATCACTTACATATTATTCAGAAAAGATCAAAAATAGACTGTAAACAGATTCCACTGCGAATCTGACGATGATTGTAAATGAAACCACTGACATTTTTTTTTTTAAAGAAACAGCGACAAGTTTACTGTAAGATGTAATCTGCCTATTGTGAGGAATACCGCACTCTCCCCCGTTTCCTGTCAAACAATACATATTGTGCTCAGACAGGAAATGCCCCCATGTTTTTCTGTGGCCTGCGATACATTTAATGCATAAAAACAACCGTCTATATGTGTGCGTGTGTACAAACAACAGAACAAAATATGATGCAAAATGTTCCACGGGATAATTACAGAGATCTCAGTGCATGTCATGCTGTATCCAAAGCACAAGGCATGAGCCAGAGAGACGAGAAACATGCTTGGATCACTTAAAGGGAAAATGCAGTCATTTATCTGGGCAGGAGGAAGCGTGTGACATCATTCCCATGAAATATCAAAGAGTTCTGTAGTGGAAAAGAGACGCCGCCAACAGCAGAAGTGAGTGTGTGTGTGTGTGTGTGTGTGTGTGTGTGTGTGGGTGTGTGTAAGGGTGTCAGGAGGGCAGCGGGTGAAGTCTGTCCCGCTCAAAATGACCACTTGTTTACAAATACATTGTGTGGTTATGAGCCTTGAAAACCATGCATCACTAAACAAGCCCGCAGAGTCCCATAGGTGTGCCTTACTGAAAAAAAGACCATCTGTAAAGGGAAAGTCTGTGTGTGTGTGTGTTCAATCTCTGCAGGGGAGGAAACGTGTTCCCATCTACACAGGCCAACAGGGAACCTCCTGTGTGCGTTCACGTACAATTCACAATTCATTAAACCTTTAATTTTACAGTCATGGCCAAAAGTTTTGGCAGTGACATAAATTTTGTGTTTTGCAAAGTTTGCTGCTTCAGTATTTGTAGATGATTTTTTCCACATGTTTCTATGGTAATGATAAGCATATAATAAGTTTTAAGGCTTTTCTTGGCAAAAAAATATAATGAGTCAATATTTACAGTGTTGACCCTTGTTCTTCATAACCTCTGCAGTTCACTCTGGCATGCTGGATATTAGCTTCTGGACCAAATCCTGACTGATAGCGATCCATTCTTGCCTTATTAGTTCTCGGAGTTGATCACAATTCGTGGGCTTCTCCTTGTCCACTCGCCTTTTGAGGACGCTCTTACAATCTAATTAGTATGATAGTGATTTTACCTGACTAGTCCTCATTCACAGGCCCGGATGGCCCGATTCGCGGCTTGTCGCAAGTAGCAGAGAACATCACCCATATTCTTTTCTATACTTTGTTTTTCACTGTACAACAGAACGCGCGCCAGTCACATTGACTAAACGTCAGTAAAAAAAAACAGGAGAGCGTGCTGACAACATCGATTGTCCTCTATTTGTTTTTCTTCTCTAGTCACGTTTGATCTCGCGAGTGTCCGTGAGATCACGTGTCACTGTGAAATCGTTCCTACAGTCATCAAGTGTGTGGTCTCGTGGTCTGGTCGAATCATCTAGTGTGCGGCATTCAGGATTATAAGGCTAAAAATCGGTTGAACTGTCTTCATGTCTGTGGTCTCCCATGGTTTTAAAATCTTTTAAGATTTGAAAATCGTCTAGTGTGCAGCCAGCTTAAGCAGCAAACTTTGCAAAACACAAAATTTATGTCACTGCCAAAACTTTTGGCCATGACTGTACATTTTAAATCCAAAACTACCCTAAAGATCAGCTTAAGCCCTTAATACTTCAGTTTAGACACAAACGCTTGATGAACGTATTGAATACACATGAATGCCACCAAAGTCATAATTACAAATGGGGAAACTCAGAACTGTTTTTGTTTATTGTATTTTTTTTACAATAGAATATATAACGATTAAATTTACAGCACCTTCATAACTTGAACAAAACACACCTGGTACAGTTACATCGCCACTGACTTGTTGCGTGCGCAACAGACTGAAAAATGATGAAACTTTAAAATGCGCAACACATGCGTACTTGAAAGTGTCCAGTGTCTGCGCTATTTCTTTCCATAAGTTATTACCGATAAAATCTCTAGTTTATCTCTAAATATCACACAAGCACTCGTCAATGCAAGTTTCTTGTGATTTTTTGTTGTTCCATCACATTGGCTTGTTTTTGACTTTGAAACAACAAATCTGGATAGTGTTGCCACTTTGAGGACAAACTAAGTGCAAAAATAAACTATCTCAAGGGGCATGTGCAAACTGCACACGGCTGCGAGGTTAAAATGTGGCTGCATTGGAGAACTGGAAAAAACGAGGAAAAAATGCAACTGAGCAAGTTTTGATTAGCAGTTGGGCTGTTTTAGTTACAAAACATCCGTCCGATGCTGATAATGGAATTTTCGTCACCTGCACTACCTATCATAGCCTACGCGTAAAAACCGAATTATATGTTGAGCTTTACATATGGCCTAAACATTTCCCCCCCCCCACATTCCCACCATCTGCATAAGAACAATAATCGTTTTCAGACACTGCGACTGTGAAATCCACGGACTGTGGCAAAACTCGAGGGTCATTTTGGATCTTAATGATGCACAGCGCGAGAGAGCGCTTGTGTTTATGGCACATTCCGCATGACTGCACCAGTGGACCCTAATCTCACTCTCAACACAAACTCTCCTGATGGCCTTCAATGGACACTGTTTGACATGGGAAATATAATGCTAGATTGGAACACTTACTGCCATGTGGGTGTTCTGGGTGGTTGCTAAAGTGTTTCTTAAAGGTGACATATCATGAAAATCTGACTTTTCCAGATTTTAAGTGCTATAATCAGGTCCCAAAAGATTAACCCAGTAACTTTGTTTTGGTAAGCCTTTTTCTGCAAGTGTCTGAGAAAACGAGCGCGTCTGATTTCGCTCTCTTGGTGACGTGTGGGCATGACCCCCGGTTTGAATGGGCATGACGCCTCTGCTCGGGGGCCCACTAAACACGCTACTGCCAGAATGGCTTGGATGTTCTGAGAGGAAGATGGAGGGAATAGAAAGAATAATGATCATGCGCTCACTTTCCTCCTCAGTAAGACTAAACGAAAGCGTTTTGTTTTCCTCTCTGCATTGTTGCTCTATTATTAGACGCTTTTAAGAACAGGAAACAAGAAGTGTTTTGCTTTCACTCCCCTTTGATTATTATCAGTAAGAATAAGAGTCATTCACACACCCACAGGAAAATCCCTGTTTATGGTCTCATTCTAGATACTTGAAATATTTTAACAATTATTAACTAAAACTATTAAAAGTTTTCTTTATTGAAATAAAGCTTTTGAATGTAGAGGATTATAACTGAAATAAAGATATAGGTAAACATATATATATATATATATATATATAAAAAAGACAAAAACAAAATCACTAGAACTTAAACTAAAATTACAATAAAAATATAAAATTAAAAGCGAATTCAAAATATTAATAAGCACTATAATGGTATTAAATACTATAAAAATAATATAGAATACTAAAATAGCACTACATGAAAAAACAGAGTTCTGATTCTGATGGGATATTTTCAATTCAATTTTTTGGTATTTTTTAAAAAGTTTCAAACCTCATTTTGAGTTTTGCAAAACATGAAAGTAAAATAGACTGTCACTACAAAAAAGAAAAATATATAAAAATAATATTTTCTTAATTGACCTGCCTGGTTAAATAAATGTACATAAATACAATAATAAAACAAAAAAATACAACACTTATCCAAAGCAACTTGCTGTACAAATGATATCTGCAGCAGACAATAAACCAAACACCCAAAACTAGAATTGTCATTTCATTTTATTCAATATGCTTGTCATAAATTATAGCACATTAAAATATTTTTTTGTGTTGAGTTACAAAGTGGATAGCAACATTTGATCGGTTTTCTCAAAGAAAACAATGCATTGTCAGCGAGGGACGTCGTAGCTTCATTAAACGGTTTCAAGCAGCTGATGTTGAGAAGACGAGCAGCCACTGTTGAGTCCATGCTGGATGAAGACAGATGAATTATTACACCATCACGACGGACTCGGTTTCACAAGTCACATTACATAAGGAGAGGAGGCATTGGGAGAGGGAAGAGACAGGAGGGGAACAATAAAGAAAACATAAAACAGTACAAAGTGTGTATGAGTGGATGTTTTGGAGTGATTAATAATACGCAACAAAGAGCTCTGAGTTTTGCTTGTATTAAAAAACCCAAATACATGCTTACAATGATTCTGACAATGGAAACAAACACAATAATTCAGTGTGAAACATACAGGAAAATGAATACAGAAAATGTTTTTCGCTGCGTCTGGCTACTCATGTTGATGGCTAAATATGAAGGAGGAGTAAGCAGATGGGAATGATTGAAAACAGCTTGTTCAGTGTCTCTATGTGCAAGTCAATTCCACTTATTATTTCATATTTGTCCTCTGTGCTCTCTTTTTTTGCCATAATCCATTAATCACTGACTTTTTAACTTCTTTTATCCTTAATTGTCTTTAAACACTCCGCCCCCAGACAGGCCACAGGCTGTGATTGGCCAGTGGGGCCAGGGGGCGTGTCTCTGCGGTCCAATCAAAGAGCTCCCTTGCTAAAGTTGAGCCGCAGAACAGAAGCTATAGCCTTAAACCTGGGGCTGGTTCTATGGGGTTCTTCCATTCTACTTCGACATCTGTTGCTGAATGTGAAGCAAGAACTCGTAATAAGAGAAGGCAGATTCAGTGCGGTCCTCCACGAGGTGCTGGAAAAAGCTGGTCTTGGCCGAGGTGTCGTCCCTGGAGAAAGACAATATTGAACGAGCCTTAAAATCATGCGTAATCATCATAATTGGCCCTATTTTGTTGTAAATGATTTATCTATGCATGTGTCTTCCAATCTATCATCAAAATGTAAATCCTGAACATTCATAAACAAAGCAAATAGGGGCCATTTTGATTTCTGGTCTTTCAAAGGACAGTCCCCTACCTTTATAGCCCCCCCCCCCCCCAAAATACTATTAAAGTCAATGGGAACCAAGACTTTTCCCATTTCATCAAAATATTTGCTTTTACAGAATAAATTAATTGGTTATTTAAAACTAAAACTATTAAAAACCTGTTTTCTTTATTGAAATAAAGCTTTTGAATTTAGAGTTTAACAAATAAATTCTACAATAAAAATACCACTAAAACTTCAATTAATTGCAAGCTAAATACAAACAGAGAAAAAAAAAAACTATAAAAAGGATGAAAAAAAGTCACAAGATTACTAAAAGTAAAATTACAATGAAAACTGAAAATATAACAATACAAGCTTATTCAAAATATTAATAAAGATTAATTGACCAAATATTTTGGACCATCAAAAATGGTCTCCGCTGAGCCCCGATCACTCGCATTAGATAGAGGAAAAATCCTGCGATGTTTTCCTCCAAAATCTTATTTTCTCATCGGCTGAAGAAAGAAACTCTTCTACATCTTGGAAGACATGGCGCTGAGTAACTTCATTTTTGGGTGAACTATTCCTTTAAATCTGAGAGAAATGTTCGTGGGCTCTTTTAAAACATGTATTTCAAAACCATCCAACATCTAAAAAAAAAAAAACTTTTGAAGGAATGCAACTCCCACTGTGAGAGGAGGCAGTCTGTGATAGCATAAAAACACACCATCCTACCTCAGGAACAATATGCTGCCCTGCGACTATGAATAACTGGGGCGGAAAGGGAAAGATATAGAGATTGGGAAAGATGGAGAGGAAGAACGCTGTATGGATTTAAGAAAAACAGAGAGAGCAGACATACTTGACCACATGAAAAGCAGGATGGAAGGTTCTAGACTCCAGCAGCCAAGAAATGAACGCTCGAGTTCGCTCTGAATACATCGTCTGCAGCTCAGGGATCTCAGTCTGTGAATCAACAAGAACAACAATAAACGTGTTTTCAGTTCATTCCAAAATTGCTTCTGTTTTTGTCAATAAGATGAAAGGTAAACCGCTGCTCTGCGGCCAAAAAAACAAAAATAAAATTAGTTTACAGATTAAATAAATTATATATGTTGATTATCACTGTCCTTGGTAATATATATGTATTAAATCATAAATCCAAAATAAATTAAAACAGAATTTCTGAAATAAATCATATATTTATTTATTGTGAAACTATTATTGTATTAAAAAGTTTAATACATCAAGTTGTTTAAGTTTAATGAATTCAATTGATTAGACATGATTTTTGAAAATGAAAATTTTGAGAAACTTCATAGGGCCCCAAAAATGTAACTTTTGATAAACTTTTAATAAATTGTTAAATTCTATAAGTTACATGATTTCAATTATTTTAGACATTAATTTTTGGTCACTAACATTTAATTTAAACATTAATACAAAATGAAGAAAAATTTAAACATTAAAAAAACATTAAAAAAAAAATATAAATATATATTTATATATATATATAAAAAAGGAATTTGAGAAAAAAAATACAACTGATTTCATAGGGCCCTAAAATGCAATTTGTTATTTTTTTTAATAAATTGAATTTTTATTAAATTCTATAAGTTGCATGATTTCAATTAATTAGACATGCTTTCTGATTACAAACATAACATTTAAACATTAAAGCAGAATTCAGAAAAATTAAAACATTTTTAACAGATAAAAATTTAACAGATAAAATGAAATTTGGGTAAAAAAATCAAACTGATTTCATAGTATGGAGAATCTGGAACATTCAGATGTTTAGGTCAGTGGTTTTTGTTTTGTTTTGAAACTGGAGTGAAGTGTGTGAGGTTTGGATCATTTAGAGAAATGACACACGGCCCACAATCCCCTGCAGGGTGAGATAATGCAGACCAACAGTGAAGCCTTCCAAAATGAAAAACAAATGAGCTGAACTCAAGACAAAGTTTGGTTCATGTTCTAATGCTGATCAGAAGCAGCTTCTTTCTTTCATAACGTGGAAAATATGATTATATGAATAGAGAGGAGTTTGAGAAACACAAGCCAATGTGTGTTTGCGGTAAGAAGGCTGTTTTAACACACGAGGCACACAATCTACAAACCTCTTCCCTGGAGAGAAAAAAAAAACATGCAACAACAAATAATCAATTTCGTTTTCATAACCACTGCAGTATTAATTTAATATCATTGAAATACTGTTATAGATTTTGGTAATATTTTGAATTAGATTTTATATAGATGTTTTCAATTTCTTTCAAGTTTTCAATTTATTTAAGCTTTAGTAATTTTGTTCTGTTTTTGTCATTTTTATTAGAGATGCACCGATTGCAATTTTCTTGGCCGATTTCCGATTTTTTGTTTGGGGTTGATTTGCCGATACCGATGCTTGCCGATTCCGATTTTCTTTCTAAGAACTATAATTGACAGCATATACAAACAAATATCTATGCAAATTTCAATGCAAAAATTATTTACATAATAAAAGAAATTATTAAACATTACAATTCCTCCAATCTGGACTAAGTTACAGATTTTCTCTCACTTGTTCTCTCACATATGACTAAACCACCAGTAGGTGGCGGCAAATGTCTGTTTTAATGAGTGAGTCATCTATTCATTCATTCAACCAATTAATTTAAATGGCTGATTCATTCAGAAAGGAGGCAAGTGACTGTCCTTATGAATGGGCCACTGAATCATTGACTCACTCAATTCGTTCAAAAACGTGGATTCATTCAGTAACAAAACACTGATGTGTGTTGCTCGGAGACACACAACAGTTCTGCTGTGGCTGCGAAATTGAGCAAAAACAGTCAATATTTTGTCTAAAATCTAAGTTACTTCATTTTAACTTCTTGTTTTTTGAAATACTATTGTATAAAATCAGTGTCACATTGCAATCGTGTTGATATTGATATTCGGGGAAACATCATGGCCGTATAATGCTGCTTACCTAAATCATATTTTGTAAATATCTTTTTTTTTCTACCGCAGTATGCATCTATACATTTCTGTGAGTTACTTTGTGTGTGCTGTCTCTCTCACACACTCACTCAGGCTGTGCAAGCCTCATCTGGCACGACATAAATACATTATCAGTCACAGTTTACACTGAATTCAATTAAAATTAGAATCATTCTCACGCGAAACGACATGTTTACACGCGACTGTGAGTGTGCGCGTGGCTATGATGTCATTGCCGGCGCCGCTGGCAATAAAAGGATCGGCTCAGATTCGGCAAGATGTGAGACTGGCTGGCCGGTCACCGATCCGGGCCGGTCATGCGAAAAATCAGCAGATTCCGATCACTGGCAGGTCAATCGGTGCATCTCTAATTTTTATTCGTGCTTTTTTAATATAATTTATTAAGCTTTAGTTTTTTTAGCTTTAGGTTATTTCATTTCAGTCAATTTTTATTTGATTTCAAGTAATGAACATTTTTTTGATGGTTTTAATTTTAGTTAAGTTAATATATAGTTTAGCTCTATATATAAATGACCTCTGCTATGATTGGCACAAGCTGTCATTCATTAAGTCACTGAATATTAATTAGGTGTGGATAGGTGGTAACTTTATGATGTCTGATTACGCAAGATTTTATGCCAATATGCTTGTGTTTGTGACATCAATGCAATGTGATTTCTGAAAATTACATTTATGTAGCTTAGTGTCAAGTACGTTGTGAGCTTTGTGTCTTTTTTTCAAAAGAGCAAGAACAATCCTGTTTTCCTTAGGATAAATATATGACACCTTTAACACGACAGGGTGAAAGAAGATACTTGTGAGAAATGGAAAACAGTTCACAATGCGCGCACACACACACACACTCACCATGTTGGAGGGTAAGGATGCATAATTGGGGTAGCCCAACACGTCCCGTATGAATGTCTCGTTACAGCACTTCCCCACCCACAAAAACATCACCTACAGTGCGAAGGGCAGAAATCAGTGTAGAATTAATGAGAGAAGCTGCCGCGACACAATGTTGCTCTGTCTTGATAAATTCATGTGTTTTCGCGCAGTGATGCTTACGCTGCCACAGTCCATGAGGAAGGCTCCCTCTCTAGTGAGTTTCTCTGCAGTGAGCTGCAGTAAGGGAGGCTGAGGAATCACAGAGTCATTCAGATGCAGTGCAGCCTAGAGGACAGATACAACACAATCTATTCAATCTATCCCACACTTCACCATTACTGCCTATTTTTGTTTTTTAACTGGCTGCTGAAATTTGTCTAGCTGTTGTCAGCGATTTTTGTTGATTTGCCAGATTGATGCAGGATGATTTATAAAAAGCATTCCAACTTCAACTCCCTTGAAGAGTTACGTTTTTGTTTGTTTGTCTGTTGTAGTGCCACAATACAACTATATAACTTATGAAAGTCTGCTAATGATGTATAACAAAATGTGAGTAAATCTCAACACTGATACACGTATAAAAAAAACTTTGTAAATGGCAGAAAATGATTATAGGTGGAAAAGTAAATCCATATTAGTATCTATATAGGTTTGAAGTAGGGCTGCACAATTAATTGAAATATAACCAAAAATCATGATTTAGGTTGCTTAGAACTTGCTAGCCATCTTCCTAAACTGTAATGAGAAGAACATATAAACTGACTGTTGACAACAAAACAAACACTTTAAAGGCTTCATGAAGTTTAAAAAAAAATAAATAAATTGATGGTTTGATGTTTGAAAATGACCAATTTAATATATATATATATATTAATAAAATAAAAAGTATCAGTATATTCTTATAAATGTAAAACATAAAATATATGCGCATCACACCACAGCTGTTTCCTCCAGCGAAAATGTAACGTTAGACCTTAACACATATGAACGTATACTTTATAAAATGTTGCTATTTTCATTTGAAAATTGAACTTTCAATATAAAACATATTACAGTGCATGTGGCATTAACTACCATACAGTCATGCCCAGAAATAATTGAAGACAGTGACAGACAGTAGGCTACTTGAGCATAGAAAGATGTTTGTATACTTGAGCTAATGGAAGAGGTTTGTACTAGAAATGCAAACAGTAAAGATGTGTGTGTGTGTGTGAGATCAGGAAGACTTGTATTTGGCTTATTCAGTACTCAAATGTTGGAATACTGCAATAGGTTTAGTATAGCACCCTAACCTATTAGTCAGACATTATTTTATTTATTTTTTATTATTATACCCTCATTGGGGGCTGAGCCCCCCTAAAATGAAAATCCTAGAATCGCCCCTGATATGAAGTATATCAAATGTTAACAGATTTTTAAAAAACAAACATTTTTACTGCATTCTAAAGATCTGGGGCCTTCTGCCTTGCACTTTTCCCCTACGAAAATACGAAGAATTTGATCCTTTTAATGGCTTTTCAATGACATGTGGTTAGTAGGTGAACCTCTGGTGGCGTATATGCATACAGCGCCCCCACCTGTTTGAGCAGAGCAAGTACATATAGAGGGAAGAGACGCAGGGCGGCAGGGGTGATCAGGCCGGAGGGCTGGATGTTTGAGCCGTTAGCGCGATATGCCATTAAACAATCCACCACGGCATTAACTAATGCGTCTCTCGCGTCAGACAGACTGGAGCAGATGGAGCGATCGATAGCTGCGAACAGATGCAAAGACAGAGACGATGTTTCTAGCAAAGCAAAACAGAAATCAACCTTAATAATCCATAGTGATTATTGTTCCATTTTAACATCATGTTGGTTGAAAATGTATGTCATTAAATTACCTTAAATTAGGGCTGCAACAAATAATCCCTAAATGAAGATGTAAATCAGGGGTCTCCAAACTCCTGCAGAGTTTAGCTCCAACCCTAATTAAACACACCTGAACATAATCAAGATCATACTAGGTCTGCTAATAAAGGTCTTACTAGGCATACTAGAAACTTCCAGGCAGGTGTGTTGAGGCAAGTTGGAGCTAAACTCTGCAGGACACCGGCCCTCCAGGACCGAGTTTGGAGACCCCTGATGTAAATAAAAGTACAACAAATTTTGATTATCGATGTAGCTCATCTGCACACTCTGCTTGGAAAACATCTACTTGTCCTGTCACATTTACATTTATGCATTTGGCTGCCGCTTTTATCCAAAGCAGCTTACACTACATTCTGTGTTTGAGATGCGTTGTCCTTAACACATAACTTATTTCCATTTTGAAGCTCCCGTTGACATAGGAGCAATTTTTTGACTAAAATATAATTTTTTTCTTTAATATTTCTTACATTTAAAGTAAGTTCAAAATTTTATTTTCTTATGAGAACAGTCACAGTTTACACGGAGTAAATTAATGACAAAAGTCTTTAAAAAAGAAACGCGTGTTGAATTACAGTCACTGAAAATAATGCATTGCATTAACAATGCTTGCATTTTAATGCATTGTATTTTCAGGGCTTGCATTTTCCGGTTCTGAAATTCAACTTGGTTGTATATTTAAGCTGTGAATATTTCCAAAAAAATTAATTAATAATAATTATTATTTATTTATATATACAACAAATTTTGATTATCGATGTAGCTCATCTGCACACTCTGCTTGGAAAACATCTACTTGTCCTGTCACATTTACATTTATGCATTTGGCTGCCGCTTTTATCCAAAGCAGCTTACACTACATTCTGTGTTTGAGATGCGTTGTCCTTAACACATAACTTATTTCCATTTTGATAATAATTATTATTATTATATATATATATACACACACACACACACACACAAAATGCATTAATCAATTCACCTCCCAGATTTCATTTCCATAATCACTGTGTTTAAATATATGACTCTAATGGAGATTATGCATCGGTACTCTACTGCACTCCTGCAGGTCCCGGATGTGCAATGCTGAATATTCTTCCGAATTTGAATCACTGAATTTGTAGAAGCAAATTTGTAAAGCGAAATAAAATGGACCGAAAACTGCTTTCCAAATATTATAGGTGGTGTTTCAAGAACAGTTAATGCAATGCATTTTTTTTTTTATTATTGCATTTCAACTGTGCCAATTTTGTCTAAACTTTTGTTATTAATTTACATCCATATTACACAGAGTATAAATGTAATATGTTTAAATAAGTGAATGTATGCTCCTCCAACCTTGTACCAGTAAACATTGAGTCTGTACTTTTGTTTCTTTATTATTTTTTACAATCTTTATCAACTTTTACTTTCAAAAAGTAAGTTTAAATGCTATTTTTTTTTTTTTTTTGCGCATACCCTACATAAGATACATTCACTGTAAATAATGGATTAAAAAGTATTTTTAATTCAAACGATTTTAACATTAATTTGGGGGAAAAAAATCAAAATAATCTTTAGTTGCAGCCCTACTATAAATGCATACAATACATATATATAAAAATACATACAACACATACATACTAGAAACACAATATATACATACTAGCAACAGGACACTGTGCACAAAGTATTGACATAATATACTGCAATTAAAATGTCAGTGTGTTTGTTCTACTCACCCATGTTGGCCAGCAGGCATGTGATGGCCTGGATATCGGCTCCAGCAAACACTCCACTCAACTGACTGACCACCGGCAGACACAGAGTGTGCACTCGGATTCGACGTTTCCCTGTCAATCAAAAACGCATACCAATCAAAGGGAAATCCTACTCAGTTTGTGGGAGTGGTCTGATGTTCTAAACACGTCGAAAATGCTCTCTTTTTTTGATTAGTGTCAATGCTTGATTACCTTTGCTTGATGTGTAAAGAAGAGCTGCCTGAAAACAAGCAAGTGACGTATCAGCTAAACTCTCCTCGATGGACATCTGCACAGCGAAGCCAGAGTCCGGGTTCACGTTGGCCAAAGAGAGCAAATCAGTAGAGCGCACAAAGAAGTTGCCATGGAAAGTGTGGATGGACAAGCCTATTGACCAATCAGAGAAAGTGTCATTAAAAAAAAAAGATATGAAATCACAGGGCCCTACAGATACTGGTTAATGGAAGTGTCAATCAAAGCAACTGTGGCAGCAGGGCCGTGCAGAGACCTTTGGAGGGGCAGGTGCTCATAAGTATAAAAGGGGCACATGGAGCAAGGCTTTTAATAGGGCTGTGCTCCTTGCTGACACGTGTATCGAAACGGATGCTTCTGTATTGATAGCAGCAAATGCCGTGACGCAGTTTTGAAAAAGAAACACAGAACAGAAAAGACCATTTTAAGTTTAAAAGTTAAAAGAAAATTTTCTTTGCACCTCTTAATCACTCTGGAATTAGAAACAGAATTATATTATTATTATTGAATTTACAGGGTATGGTGGTTTTGCTGTTGTAAACACTACTGTTGTTGTTGTAAAAAAATATATTTCTGTCTTATTTAAAATAGAATTATATTCTAATCCTGTTCTGAATTTATTCAATTTATTTTTTGAATGATAATGATAATAAAAACAGGATTGATAAGTATAAATCGGAGGATGAGAAAATCAGTATACGCCTGTTTTATCAGTGTTGTGAAAATTATTTTTAAGGCACTCTACGTTTTTTAAATAAATAATGTAATAATATAAGTTCAAAGTAATATTTTTTAGTCAGATAACAAAGACAAGACCCCTCGACGCCTCGTCCTCCGCACTTTATTCGGGCAGGTGTGTTCACGTAGAGGTTTCTAGATTTAAATCTAGATTTACATTCAAAGAGACAGTATAGATAGTCTATGCATGACCTGACGTTTTATTCGTATCCAAAATGAGGAGAAGTAAATATCTGGATGCAGTGTATGCCTATGTTTAATTCATACTTGAAGCCGGAGGGCGCTCTTGTGCAGAAAGTCCAAAACAGACTCATAGAAGGAATGACTTATGACCTGCAGGAAATCCCTAATATGGACAAAAACATCTGGCTATGGCTGTAGGGGAGCTGAATAAAAAGCAGAAAAAAACGTGAAGAAAATAAACATACGATTGCTAAAATATACGGTTTGTGTGTGTTTTTCAAGTTATCTCCAGGTAATAAATAAACTATATTATTTATGCAGATTATATATAATAACTGATTGACATATCATTTAAGAAACTATAGAATATATTTCCTGCCTTATTCTGTGATGAAAATGGGGAAAAGGTGCTCGTAGTAGCCTTTATAAACAGATCATAAAATTATCATTAGGAAAATATTGAACAAAAATATTATAGCCCCTTGCTGCAGCTAACCTTACTTCCACAGGCTACAAACAGCAATATAAACAACAGCTGTGTATGCTCTCTTCACGCCGTTCTTGTAAAATAATAATAATTGAATAATGTAAGTTTACAAGCGCACCGCTCCGCTGAGAACTCCACTTACCGCCGCCCGCAGACATTATGAAGGCATCCTGGTAGTGCGCTAAATTAAAGGTGTCTGAACGTGACATCCCGGATGAGATCGCAACGTCAGGTGAAAGGTCATCATCATGTGGATAATTTTATTTACGGCTAAATTATTATTCATTAATTTTACTAATAGTTAGATTGAGCAGGTCTTCACAAAATGGCGTTTAATTACAAAAAAAATAAAAATTGCCTTGACAAAAGGGCACTTTGGGCATTAAGAGGAAAAGGGGCAGGTGCTCAAGTACCCACCGCACCCCCCTCTGCACGTGCCTGTGTGGCAGTGTCAATCAAAGCTCGTGTATCTCCACCTCCTTACCTTTGGTGCATCTGATCCTCATGACGGCTTCAAATCCGATCTTTCTGGTGAGGTATCGCTGCAGATCTTTCTGGAATTTCTGGCTCTGCACGGTATTGTGAACATGATGGAAGGACGGGTAGTAAAAGACACTGCCGGCTGAGTATTTGGACACACATGCTGCACAAGAAGAAAAAAAGATCTTGTTTCACAACTTTAGGGCACATATAACTAAGAGCTGAGAAAGAACATTAAGTGTGTGCATGTGTACCTAAAGAAGCCAGGTCTGAGTACTGGGAGCTCAGTAAGAACAGATCCACTCCGATCTGCTGTCCAGAACAGTCCAGAGCCAGTTTCTTGTAAAAGTCTGTAGCAGGACCCAAGTGCTGGACATTCTGAACACAAACAAGCCAACAAAAACTCTCAAAGCACAGAAACATTCACTGAAACATAATTAAGTATCTGTAATGTTTTTTAAATCACAATAAAACACGTATCTAAGATACTTTTAGTTAATTAAACAGGAACACATTTAACTGCCAAACAGGGTAATTGCAATTTTAAAATACTCAAGACATGTTTTATTGAACATATACATGTGTTTCGAAACTGGCTTATGTAGTAATATATCAATATTGGTTGATATTGGATTTTGCTGATATAATAATAATGTACTTAAAGAAAGGCAACAAAAAGATTATTGTGCTGATACTAGTTAAATTGAGTGAGTTAATGTTTGTTTTTTTCTTCACAGAGAGAAGCCAGAAGAGTTTGTTGAATTAAATTCCAGATACAGTTTTACTGAGTAATGAAAATACCACTAATATCCAAAAAACAAACAAACCCAAAACTCTTTAAAACAAAACACTCTTTAAAAAAAGGTATATAATGCAGGACCTTTAATTTTAAACAAGCCTGAAATACACAGACTTCCAGCTGCTCATTTAAAATCATAAGCAAGATAAAATATCTAGTCCTAAAACCATTTACAACATAATACAATCTTATCACCATAAATTAAACACTGTCATAATTCATCAAAGGCAGATCATAAAGACTCGCTTGGCATAAATGCGTGGTATTAAATAATTGTGAACTGCGTAACAGCGCCACGTTTTGACTTTGAACATGCAGTGCACACATTTATTTAATGGAATCATAAACTTTTAAGTTGAATAGTTTAATATAAAGCCAATTTATGTTAAACATAAACTGTTTTTCGGTCCCAAAATTTAAGACCCTTTAAGACTTTTGTTATACTATTTACGAAATTTAATTTAGTCTAAACTGAATTTAGGACTTTTTAAAGAAACTCATGACTTCAACAACTTGGTAGGGCCAATTTCTATGCTGGTAAATGTTAATTCTCTTATAACTTGTTGGAAAACTTCACATGTTCCAATCACTGAGCAGCCACTCATATGAATGTTTGCATTTATGCATGATCAGGGTCTGTTTAAGTTGAATGATGATTCAGGAGCGTTACCTTGGTGCTGGATCTGAGGTTGGGGTCTTCCCGTGACTGCAGGAGTCCAGCGCCGAGGGTGGGCAGCTGGGTCTGAAACACAGACACCCGGCCTCCTGTTGGGCACATGAGTTTATACGCCACCTGCAGAGCCGGACCCAGAGCGCTCTGAGTCTCACGCGTGTGCGTGAACATCCCCGGCAGCGCGTTCAGCAGGTCCTTCACCAGCTGCGAGCACATGCACAGACACACTTTCTGTCAAATAACGCAGCTGCAAAAATGGTGTCACATATCAAAGCTTGTGTGATACAGAGACAAAAGATGAAGCCGGGAAATGGGAACACAAACACATCTGACCTCACACACACACAGAGATATAAGGTCTTAAAATACAGACAGAGAGAACGATAAGATTCCAACCTCTTTACTCTCTTTGAGATTCACCAGCAGATTGTCGTGAGTTGGGATGAAGACATCTAAGAGAATCAAAAACAAACATCTCTCAATCACTCAGATGCAATGCAATGTTCTGTAGGCCTGTTATGAATGCACAATAAAAAAAAAAAGCCAATATAGCCTTGTGTGGTTAATAAACCACAAAACTGCAATGCAATGAAATGAAATAATATCTGTATGTTGCATGCTTTGTGAAAGCATGGTGCTTTTTGTTTTCAAGGGTATAAACATTTTTCAAGCATAGTTTGAGCAAAACAAGCTTAATTTGATGACAAAAAGGAATTGCTTGCTAGTTAACCCTTTAACTACTTCTAGTGTCTTAATATTGGAGCAACAGCAGCAATATGAGATTATATTCTATATATCTTTTTGCAGAGCAAATTGCAAAATGTGAAAATATTGATTTCTGACCAAATCCTGTTGCAAATGCAGAATCATTAGACATGAAATTTTCAGATATCACAAATTTAGATAAATAATAAATAAGTAATACTATAATAGTAATATTTTATTTTATATATACACCCACAAATATATATATATATATATATATATACACACACACACACATACACTCAACTTAGTACTGTTCTAGTACCAGGTGTTTGCATATTTTAGAGTGACAAATCGTACCAGCGTACTCTGATGTCAAAATGCGTACCTGCTACTCAGTGTGTACTGGTTGGCAGATCTATATATATATATAAAATTCATTAAATATATATTATACATATATAATAAATTAAATAATATTATACATATACAATAAAAGTGTATATGTTATTACATATACAATAAAAGTTTTCATATACATATAAAAATATGAAATTTTAGTATAATATAACATATCTTGTGTGAAAGTGGCTATTATCAATCAAAACTGGCCAATTTGCAGTTACAAAACATTGCTGATTAATTAAACGAAAGTCACTCTTAATGTGCAAAGCCAAAATCGGTGAACAGAGAAAGAAAAGTAAGAGAATCAGACAGGATTACCATCAATATCAGACACCACCAGCATCTGAGGCTGAGAAAGACCCTCCTGCAGGTTATAAAAGTGGACGGTGCTGTCAAACGTCACAAACCCGATGCGTGTACGAGTATCTCCGGGCAACCTGAGAGAGAAACATGCATGCGTGGTCACATCTGAGGTATGTGACACTCAAAAACATTTCATCAGCTGTTATATCTCACTTTTCTAGGTTGTCCAGCAATGACTGGCAAAACACATTCAAGTAGCCCGACTCCACAGCATTATGAGACACATCCAACACGAACAGGTACACAGCAGGCTGAGGAGGACGAAGCTGGAGACAGAAAACAAACGTCAAATAAAATGCAATCATAGCATTAAAGTTCTTTGAAGACGGGAAAACACTCACCATGTAATCAGAGGAAGCGATGAACTCCACAGTTGAATTCTGGACCTCTGGTCTCTTGTGAGGCTCACCGTATGAACGAGTTACAGGATTATACATAAACTCATCAGGGACTGATTGAAAAGACGACAATTTATCAGAACATAACGAAACCATCAAGAACATGTTAATGTGAGAAAACATAATTTATTTTAGAGAATTTAATCGTAACTTATGGTACAATAACTGTCAATAACTATCATTTAACAACACATTTGCATGTTCACGGTTCTCTAATGTCAGTTAATGGTCACATAACATGCAGGCAAACAAATAAAACATTTAATCTTTTTTATTAAGTGTTTTATTTTGATTGCTTTTATTTTCAAATGTTTTATTTTAGTTTGACGTTTTTATGATTCAATTAATTTCCTTCATTAACCCCAGTTTGAGAAATCCTAAACCAGACTAACCAAACACAATTGTAAGTCTCTTACCATCATTGACTCTGTAACACAGATTACACTTCCACCTGCGCTGATCCAGAAACGAAACAAAAGGGTTTATATATGTCCGACATGAACGACAACGAACTATAGTGTTAGAGGTGATGACTGGTAACTGCTGCAGAGACAATTTTGATGCACAAAAGTAAATGACTCAAAAACTCAGGAATGCATACTTTTGAACTATTTCACCAAATTTTTCGAAACACTGATTCAGCAGCTTAATTTTTTATTTTTTTTTGCAGAGGTCTCTGTGTGGCATATTATGTCCAGAAATGATATGCATATTCAACACTCTTCAAAAGTTTGGGGTCAGTGAATTTTTTTTAATGGCACATAATATGGAATATAAAAGAAGATAATTTGAGAGAGTTAGGGTATTTTTTAGACATATTTTTAAACTACAATCATCCAGCCTAAATGTTTCGTCACCCAGTGTATTTGTGTTTTCCAATTTATAATGTTGTTGATTCATATTTATATGGTGAGGAAGATACTTAAAAAAAACCTTTGATTTAAAACTCTGAATAGAATTTATTTTAACAAAAAAGACAAGTAAACAGTCCGTAATAAAATAAGAATAGATAAATGACAAGCAATGGCACAAACAAATACAATAACAAGATACAACTAAAATTAACTGTGCTTTTTCAGGTAGGTATAACAGTAATATTCAGGTACAGAAATACCACAGAAACTGAATAACCTCTTTAACTTTAAAATAACACGTGTTAGTCTTCAATGTATAAATAAACATTAATGACAGACAGCAGCAGGTTTATTTAGGTTGCTGTCTCTTTAAGACCTCATGCACGGATCTGTTACACAAGTTCTCAACTGTTTACATTCACTTAATAGCCTATATACAGACAATGTTTAGTATAAATCGATTGTTTACGTGAATACTCATCAAGACGGGCATTTTGACATAATTGTGTATGTATTTGGCCGTTGCGCGCTCTCAGATGCGGCTCTGTGGCACGCTTTGGATGTGAGCTCACAGAAAAAGGTCTCACGGAGAGCGCAAGTACTGAATCAAGCACTTGAATGTTTAAAATTATAAGACTCAAAAGCATGTGCAAATGATACATTCCGTCATCTGTCCCGAGCGTCTTTCACGCTGAAATATTTGCGGGAATTTCTAGTTTTACAAGTGCGAAAACTGCTGGAATCATTAGAATTATGCGCAATCCCAAGCCGAAATTCAAGCCATGTTTAATATTAAAATATTATAATATAGCAAATAGTCTCCCCTTTAAGTAAATAAGAAAACATGCATGCAATCATATATATATCTATATAAATAAATATAAATTTGAACGCAATATAAATAAATATAAATTTGAACGCAATATCGCCCAACTATTGGCATTTGTAAATAGTGATTAGCCACTGAAACCAGTAACAATCTCCATTTCCATGAACCATATCAGACCCCTCAAACACCTACCCAAATCCACCCAGAACACACTCCACTGCTCTCATGATGTGTATGCAATTTAAAGCTAAATTTCCCATTTACTCTCTGATATTCAGTGTTATTACAGAATCGGGACTCTTAGAGAAGACAATAATCCTCAGAAGAGCTTAACCTAACACTAATCCTCCATAACCCAACTGAAACCATAATAGACCAGAGAGAGAGAGAGAGAGAGAGAGAGAGAGAGAGAGAGGGAGAGACGGGCTGTGATTGGCTAAGCGATGGTTATCCTGGGCTCAATCTACTACCTCACTGGATCAGCAACCTGAACTCAAGAACAGATTGAGAATGAAACATCCACACGGAACATAATTGAACACATGAAATTTTAGTTTGGGTGCATGAAAAAAAACAAACAAAAAAACAAACAAACCCGAGACTCCCCCTCGAGTGCAAGAAGTCCAAGAAAGGAGCTATTTCACTCAACGAGGACGATGAAACCTCTGGAGTGTGTGATGAATTGGTAGCAGGCTAAAACTCCCCATGAGAAAACACAGCACCCCAACACACACTTCATAATGAAGTGCTAAAAATACAATCTGCCCACAACACTCTCACACACTTCTGTAGGAAGCAGGAGCAAACAGGGTTACTAAGATTACCAGTCCATTATGGAGACTGAAAAGGTGCCAGAGCTTATACAGCGATTCCGGAAAACTCTTAGATCTGGCCAAATCTGCACTGACTTCAGAGCTGAATGATGATATTATGAGCGTGTTGCTAGAAAACCCAGCCAAAAACAAATTTTAAGACCAAAGAAAATTTCAAAAAATGTAGAATTAAGATTTTTTATATTTTTGAAAGAAGTCTCTTCTGCTCACCAAGGCTGCATTTATTTGGTCAAAAATACAGTAGAATTGTGAAATATTATTACCATTTATAGGAACTGTTTTCTATTGTAATATATTTTCAAATGTAATTTATACCTGTGATGGTAAAGCTGAACTTTCAGCATCATCAATCCAGTCTTCAGTGTCACATGATCCTTCAGAAATCATTCTAATATGCTGATTTGCTGCTTCATTTTTATTAATTATTATTGGTACTCAATTAATAACACTAGTTCTTATTTTCAATGGTTAAAACTAGGGCTGGGCAATAAATCAATATCAATATGTATCACGATATAATTTTTTTCAATAACGGTGATATGATTTTTAAACACATTTCCGATATTTCGATATACATTACCAGTGTTTCCCATACATTGATTTATTTGTGGTGTTTGACTTCGTTGAATAAACATGATATAATTTTTTTCAATAACGGTGATATGATTTTTAAACACATTTCCGATATTTCGATATACATTACCAGTGTTTCCCATACATTGATTTATTTGTGATTTACTTCGTTGAATAAACATGAGCACTGCACGTTTCAAAATCAAAACGCAGCGCGGGTGTTTTACATGAATGTATCTCTGAAGGGAACCGACTGTCTTCAGAAAAGTTTCGATGGCATTTTTATTTGATCCGATAAAGAAGCGTTCATGAGCGGAGATGCTTTGATTACAGCCATTACTGGAGAAACCGCTGGTTCTACCGCTCTCAAAGCACCTCCTGCTGGCAGACAATCAGTTAGCATTTTCAATAATAAGCCTGTCTCCAGCAACGTTTTTGTTTAATTTTTTGTTTTCTTCAGCAACTCAGAGCACTTTTCATACTCTTTATCCTGGCTGAAGCACATTTGTTTCAATCTATAAGAATAATCAGCCTACACTACCAGTCAAAAGTTTTTGAACAGTAAGATTTTTAATGTTTTTTTTTTTTTTTTGTTTTTTAAGAATTCTCTTCTGT